ATCATTTTAGTCATCACTGAGATCATTTTAGTCATCGCTGAGATCATTTTAGTCATCGCTGAGATCATTTTAGTCATCACTGAGATCATTTTAATTTTTTGTTTATATATCAACGCTGAATGTTGGATAATTAATAAATATGAGAAACTTAAATTTTTTATTCTGAAAAATTATTCTAAAAGAACAATTAGAGTTAATAAGAGAGAGAAGAGAAGTCTATACTTTTATTTTCTGTGAGACTTCGGGGCTGTCTTCTCCATATGAAAACACCATACAACACCTTAATACAAGGAGTTTATTGACACAGGGATTTCTCAACTGTTGTACCGAAGACTATCACAAATTAAACTGTACTTTGTAATGTTGATATGAGCCATGCCTATTTCAAGGTAAAACACTGAATTATCCTGTGTATTTAAAGTTTACCTGGATTTGCCTGTGTTTTGTATCATTATTTAGGAATGAGGTAGTACATACACATATATCTGAACCTTATGTTGGAGGTAGTACAGACTTCAACTTCTCATGATGTGATGGTATTTCAGCCCAATAATAAACACATGATCAAAAGGCTTTTGCAAATTACATAAGTGAGTTATCTGCTCCTGGCCAGTCTGTTATGCTATCGTTTGATATCTTATTGTTTGAGAAAGTATCAGACAGTGTAGCGGAGCCTGCGTAATGTTGATGGAGGAGAAAATGTGTGTTAACCTGCAGGGTGGAATCCAGGAATACTGATAGTGTTACTGATTGTAGTATGTTCAACACAGCAGGAACAGGTGCCATCAAACCTATACTTACGAAGGTAGGGCTTTTACTAAAATAAAAAAGAATACAGGAATAGGGCATTCAACTTCAGGAGAAATTGGAGATCTTGATCAAACTAGTAAGAAACTGTCTTCTGCTGCAAAATCGGTTTGATTCCACACTCTGTGGAACTGGCCAGATTATACCTATCTTCTCTGAAACCCCTGAGGAAGCATCATATCGATCAGATTGTCACGCTCAGGACACTGAACATACTAGTTTTGGTCAGATTAATCTGTCCTATCTGACACCTGAGGAACAGAAAATATTGATCAGGTTATCTTTTATAATATAACAAAAAATGAAAACTTATGATGGAGAGAGTAAAAACAATAAGATATTTTACCAAAACTTTTATCAGCTGCTTGTACATCTTCAATGCAGAAAGTCAATATCTGGATTTAAAACACAATACAAGCTCTTTAGTCAAGTTCTTTACTTTATCAACAACAAATGTGTTAGCTAACTATTTTGGTATTCAGGAGACAGCGGGTTTTTTGTAACAAAATTTTCCTCAAGGATGCTTCAGATCAAATTTGATTAAAATCCGCTCAGTCATTCATGAATAGTTGCAACATATAGTAAAAGTTGACAGACAACGAATGATGGACAGAAGACTGACAGATGCCGGACGGACCACAGACGCCGCTGTAACTCTATAGCTAACTTGGCCCTTTTGGCCAGGTGAGCTAAGAAAAAATGTAGGAAATGTAGTTTACAACGGGTTTCGACAATTAAAAGCAGATTTACTTTACTTAAAAGATTGTTATAAAGACACTTTGTGAAAAATATTGTACACACCACATTTATCCCAGAACAAAAATCCCAGAGTATTACCAAGGGAAATTTGTACAAAAAAGCTAATCCATTTAACTAATTCATTTAACTACTATCTTTAATATAATCAATATTTGTTCAATATAACTGATTCAATGCTGAAAATTAAATCAGATTATCTGAATTAACGACAGAAAAATCAATATTTAAATCTGATTTCCTTAATAGGATGTTCTTCATTATATTACGTGTTAAGTGGTAACATTTATTTTATGTCAATGGTGGTTTCAGCTTCTTCTGATCCAGATCAATACTAAAGCAACACACAAGGCAATTTCACCAATGTAAATCTCATGGTTTAATTGCTCAATATTTCGAATTGCATTTTTATTTTCCTCACAATTCATCCATGAAACCTGATCAAGATCTTGTTTAAGAAGTGTATAGGAGAAAAGCAGAAATGAAAAGATCAGGTCCATACAGGTGATTGAGGCAAGTGTCCAACACCAGTTTAGTATTAAGCCTTAAGTTCAAATCCAAGGTAGTTTTATCCCTGATAGAGAAGCATTATTTCTAGCGTAAGAAGGGTATAGCTGTGGTTATGCTGTGAATGATGAGGAGCTGACAGGATCCACAACCTGTTGGGAATGTCTAAGATACACACAAAGATGTTGTTGTATAAGTTAGCTAATGATGAAAAGTGAAATATTTCTACCAAGTTATTTTTTACTGGTGATGATAGCTGTGAAGATTTATACATTAAATGATTACCAAGAACAAGTTCTAGTATAGAAAAGGAGCCCTTATGTTATGTTGTGTACACAATCTGCTGGTTGTATTCTATATTTTATTTTTTCTAAAGTTATTTTGATGTCAGTAAACTTTAAAATTTACTTCAAAGAATGTGGGAGATTGATCTATACCATCCACATTGCATCAAATATTGAAGGCCATTTAAGATTGTACAGAAGACATACAAGTGAATTAAGCACTTTCAAATCAAAATGTAATTTAGAATTCAATATGATAGTGTCAAACGATGAACTGAACAGCATCATACAGCTGTTTTATCCTTCTAGACTCAACAGTGATGCTGAGGGCCTATATTTTAAAACTTAGGGGGCAACTAAGGAAAATCAAAAGAGATAGAAAGAAACGTCAGTATCGTAACAGAAAGTACAAGGTGCAATGGCTGCATACTTAAATCAAGTCTGTAATTGTCATATATCTGACAAGTTCTGAACACAGTCAGGTAAATGTGTATAAACTTCAACATGACATTATGATCACCAGCAGTGTCTACCAACTGCTATCTTTAAGATTGTACAACAGAAATACCTTTCCATACAATTTTAGGATTTAAGATATAATAGAGACCAGTAATTATTTAAGAACTTAAAATATTAACTTAATTTTTATAAAGTAGGGATTGATATTGTGTAATTAGGTAACTCTAAAGGAAGTCTGTCACTCATAGACAATACTCTAATACAATAAGTATAAATATACAACACAGTACATAACAAATGCTAAATCATTTATGACTTTGCAAATGATGTGACATCTGAACACTTAAATAACTTTGTAAATTACATAACATTTTTACGAATAAATTCCTAAATTATGTGATATTTCACCTCAAAATTAATTTGTAAATTATGTAACATTTTAAGTCATAAATTAATAATTTGTGAATTATGTTACATTGTAACTTGTAAATAAAACTTTGTAAATTATGTATCATTTTGACTCATAAATAAAATTGAAACTGAAAAGTAATTTATCTGTAATTTATTTAATTACGTAACATTATAACTCATACGTAACTCGTTCTAAGTAACATTATAACTCATAAGTAACTCATTTTAAGTAACATTATAACTCATAAGTAACTCATTTTAAGTAACATTATAACTCATAAGTAACTCATTTTAAGCAACATTAAAACATAAGTAACTTATTCTAAGTAACACAACACTATAACTCATAAGTAACTCATTTTAAGTAACATTATAACTCATAAGTAACTCATTTTAAGTAGAATGGTAAGACACAAGTAACTCATTCTTAAGTAAATGTTAAAGTAAATATGTGAGTAATATATTTTTTACTTCAAATAGCCTGTATGCAATGATGATATTAAAAAGAAAAGTCATTTTGATAACTTTTATATATATTTGTTTCCAAATTAGATGTTAATTTGCATATTTCTGTTTCTTGCAGATCTGTATCAATTGATGTAGACACCTGGAAGAGAGATGTAAACATAATTGCAGACTTTTGATACAGTATGACCAACATACTGGATACTATGGCAGTAATCAATACTAGTACCACCATGGTGAATGATGCTGCTTCAATTTACCTCAACTACAACACGACAGGAGCGAGCATCCAAGACTGGGCCACGTCTAACACCACTACTGTCCCTCTATCAAATGGGACAACTGTACTGGGTACAACTGCAGCTGATGTTCAATGGGCAAAAGTGATATATACATACTTGGGACCGAGCATATGTGCCTTTGGCATCTTGTGTAACATATTAAACTTGATTGTATTAATGCAACACCAGTTGAAAGAGTCTCCCTACACATATCTCACAGGACTGGCTTTCACAGACCTTGGAGCTCTCCTCCTCTCATTCCTTTACATGGTCTTCTCACACAAAATCCAAGGTGTCTACTTCTGGCGCTTTTTCGAAGCCCACATATTCATTCCTTTTGTGAATATATGCACCAACTCTAGTGTGTGGATAGTTGTACTGCTCACAATTGAGCGCTTTCTCTTTGTGCGCCATCCATTGTGGGCGAAAGCCACATGTGACCGCACCAGTGCTAAGGTTAAAATTGTTTGCATCATACTTGTAATTCTAGCACTAAACATTCCTCGATTTCTGGTGTTTAAAGTGAGCTATGATATAAACGGTACGCCATTCCTGGATGCCACAGTATTCCGTAAAAGTGACACTTTTCATGCCATTAACTGGGTTTACGCACTGGTCATCAATTTTATTCCACTGGTGATCCTCAGCACTGCAAACATCTACCTGGTGGTGGCTGTTAAACGTGCAAGCATTCAGAGGGAGGTGCTACAGATACGAAATAACAAGGAGGCCGCATGGCAACGAGAACAGATGCGACTCACCATAACACTCATAAGCATAGTGTTTCTATTCATAATTTGCATAATTCCATCGGCTTTTGCAGACTTCCCGATTGCATATGCACTCTTTGGAGAAGGTTACACACAGACAGCATTTCGTCATCTTGCAGCATATCGTATCACAGGTTATATCAGCAACCTTCTTGTATGGTGCAATCTTTCCATCAACTTCGTCCTTTACTGCGCATTTAACAACAAATTTCGTCGAGTCATGTGCTGGACATTTCAAAATTTTTTTCACTTTCGTCGCAAGGATGGGTCTTTTTTATTATTAGTCAATTTCAAAAACGGACATTCCATAACCCGCAACAACAGCAGCCAAACCAACAGCATGAGCATGCAGACCAAGGTGTCGTCACTTTCTCCAGATGCCCTGTTGAGGACAGAGAAATTGGATGGCAAGAAGAATTCGATCACAGCAACTCTTTATGAAAAGCCAGAGCCTCTGTCTGACAAAGACGAGGACAACGAAAACGAGTGATTCACACAATCAGGTCGAGTAATATTCTGACTCTGATACTTGAGTTACTATCTACATATCTAATTTAAATGGCTGGAAGTGCAAAGAACTGGATATAACTGTCAGAGAGAATAGCCTTAATATTGAGTCTGTTAAGTGACTGCAGGTTGTTATGTGCAGCAGGAAAATCAGATCAAAAGTGCTATATGGATTACTCCAGTGTTAATCAATGATATACATGGTGATAAGCACATGGAAAAGTCATTTCAGTCTTGTATAAGGGATGCCTATTTTCATTGGATATCAAAACTGTGTATAGCTGATTATCAAACAAAAATGTTTTTTATTGTATGGTGAAATATGTTGATGTCATCAAAATGAGTAAATTGATGGACTATGGACAATAATGATGTCATCAATAAATGTGCGCTGTGATGAAATGTAGACAATGATGATGTCATCAAATAATGTGTACCTGAATGAATTGTGGACAGTGATGATGTCATCAAATAATGTGTACCTGGATGAACTGTAGACAATGACGATGTCATCAAATAATGTGTACCTGGATGAATAGTGGACTACGAAATCATCCATCAATGTGTGCTAATTGATGATCCATAGAATAATGATATCATCAGTATATTGTGTAATATGATCAAATTCAGACAATTACGACAATGATTTGTAGAACATGACAATGTCATTAAAAACAGTGTGCCCTGATGAGCTTTAAACCTTGATGGTGTCATCATTGATAGTGTACCATGATGAACCGGTCATCACTAGTTGTGTATTGTGATGATACAAACAAATCTACCTGTATTCCATGTTAACGTGCCTCAATAACAAATAAAAATCTGACTTTGATTTTATCAATGTAATCTTAGCAAACAAAACAACATTCACATTGGTGCATTTATATAAACATCCAAATGCTTCTCGAGTGTATGTTTGTCAAATTTACCATCAGAATTGTCATGATAATTTATTGCAAAAAATTTCATTTGTATTTGATTAAAACATTTCAGTGTATATATTAAACAGCCCACTGATGTTCTGATGTAATGTATGCTGTATATGCTATATATATATATATGTACATAAGAGTATTTTTATTGTCTATAGATATATATATAATATTCCCCCATTGTTTCACATCCTCTTTGTTGTTATCTTACTTGTGTCCATCATTAGAGTAAATAAAGCCCTTTTGTTGTTCAATTTGTCTACTGTTATCACTATCAATTTCAATAGTAAAAACCAAAAGGTATGAGATGCTCAAGATATCAACTGATCAAGAAACAATAACCATACATGTGTATATGTCCTTGACGAGCTGTCAAACAACAATATCGGAGTCAACTGACATCAGCAAATCAGAAATCAACCAGAACTGTCATCCTAAGGATAAGTCATACCTCCTAGAGATGATAAGATTTTACATATCAATTAGTGTAGTCTTGTAATCTATCAATTAGTGTAGTCTCATACTCAATCAATTAGTGTAGTCTCATAATCTATCAATTAGTGTAGTCTCATACTCTATTAATTAGTGTAGTCTCATACTATATCAATTAGTGTAGTCTCATACTCTATCAATTAGTGTAGTCTCATACTCTATCAATTAGTGTAGTCTCATAATCTATCAATTAGTGTAGTCTCATACTATATCAATTAGTGTAGTCTCATACTCTATCAATTAGTGTAGTCTCATACTCTATCAATTAGTGTAGTCTCATACTATATCAATTAGTATAGTCTCATACTCTATCAATTAGTGTAGTCTCATACTCTATCAATTAGTGTAGTCTCATACTCTATCAATTAGTGTAGTCTCATACTCTATCAATTAGTGTAGTCTCATAATCTATCAATTAGTGTAGTCTCATACTATATCAATTAGTGTAGTCTCATACTCTATCAATTAGTGTAGTCTCATACTATATCAATTAGTGTAGTCTCATACTCTATCAATTAGTGTAGTCTCATACTCTATCAATTAGTGTAGTCTCATACTATATCAATTAGTGTAGTCTCATACTCTATCAATTAGTGTAGTCTCATACTCTATCAATTAGTGTAGTCTCATACTATATCAATTAGTGTAGTCTCATACTCTATCAATTAGTATAGTCTCATACTCTATCAATTAGTGTAGTCTCAATGTCCTTAACATGTGTAACTTGGAATTCAATAATACCTCTTACATAAAGCTGAAATGGCTGATATAATGATCCTGTTTGCTTGCACAAGGAAAGGTAAAACTCCATGAAGAAATGTTGTAATTGAACAAATATCAAAAATCAAATTTGGATACTTCTATATACCAAATTTGTTCAAAACTTCATGAAAACAGTTGAAAATTAATATCGACATTCCCTGATACCTCTGTATATAAGTAAAAACAGACCATATCTACATTTCAACCAATAAGAAGTTATAATCTGCCTCAGCATATTTATCTTGATAAGAAAACCTATGTAGTGACATTTAACTATGATGTACCTAGAGCAACTGATTCACTTGTTTCTGAGGAGTTCCTTACTTGCAGATGACCAGAGGTCCACACAACCAGAAACGGTGATTCCAACCACCACCATGTCACTCCCAACTTTGTTGTTTGGGAGGATGGGGGGTACCGCAATCATTGCATACTGGAATGTGGCACAGCAATTATGTTTTAAACAGAGAGGAGGAGACCATTAGAGCACTTCTATGGCAAAGTTTTAAACAATGTGTTGTTGTATTGTCTGTCTTGGAATATTACATCATCTAAGGCAGACTAATGAAAGATCAGCAACCTGTTTACCCTACAATCTTATCGTCATTATGTCACATTACATTCCGAGTACAAGGAATGGTAATATAGACAAAATGTCCTCGTGACTAGTGACAAGTGTAAAACAATTTTAGCCATGAACTTATCTTGGCTCTCTTCATACAAAAAGGCTCTGTATCTAAATAGCTTCGTGCTACCTGCAACCTCTGAGTTTAAATAGCAGTTATTGAGAATGCATAAAGTCATCATTGTGCTAGCATGCTGAAAGTTGATGATGAACTAGAATAAGTATTTTTACAGTGTTTACCATCATGTATAAGAAATATTCATTGTCGATATGCTTAACACTGGTCATTCATATAATGAAAGTGACAGTTAAGTCATTGAAACAATTATTGGTTGTATATAAGAACTCATATCCTATGAAATTCTGAATAACATGAAGCACAAAAAATCACTTCTTTCTATAAAGTAATGCATTGTCTGAAATAAATCTGCCCAACAAACAACCTTTGACCTTTAACATCTGAAAATACCACAATGAAGTCCCCTTTTTTCAGTTTTACAGAATCATCAACTTGATTATAAGCTAAAAATAGTTCCTAAGTAACCCCTTTCCAAACTTTGATAACAAACTTTTACACTTTTAGTTTATTTGATGATAAATATCTCAAGCATTAAAAACTCCCTCCATAAATATATGATAAAGTATTAATTCTTATAGCCCATTGAAACTCCTGATTATAGCACTGGTACCAGTAATCTTGACCTTTGACTTCTGGACCTTAAAATCATTCTCAAGCATGCATTTTATTAAAAAAAATGTCTGAACAGAATTTATGTTATTGCCCAGATATACAGATTGATGAACTGATGGATGGAGTCAACAACAATATCCTCTTCAAATCTTTGATTCAGTGTATAATAATTCAAGGTCAGATATCAACATACCAAGGTCAGATGTTAACAATTGCTGGTTAGATATCAACAAATCAAGCTCAGACATCAACAATTCCAGGTCAGATATCAACAAATCAAGGTCAGATATCAGCAATTTCAGGTCAGATGTCAACAATTCCAGGTCAGATGTCAACAAATCAAGGTCAGATGTCAACAATTCCAGGTCAGATGTCAACAAACAAGGGTCAGATATCAACAAATCAAGGTCAGATATCAACAAATCAAGGTCAGATGTCAACAATTCTTGGTTAGATATCAACAATTCAAGGTCAGATGTCAACCAATCAAGGTCAGATGTCAACAATTGCAGGTAGGATATCACCAATTCATGTCATATAATTCAGGTCACAATAAAATAATTCTATGTCAGATATTACTCCCAAGTCTGTTATTATCACCTGGTCAGGTATCATTCAATGTCAGGTATCATAATATTCAGGTACCATTGCTCTGGGTGTCTCATATATATGATCATCATTCAGCAAAGGATGAGATAAAATTACAGAGGCTTGTTCTGTAAAACACTGCTGTATATCCCTACCACAATTCATCAACACATTTGTCACAAATTGCTTTCATTATTGAGTCAGCTGTATTCAAAATCTTATAAGACACTAAACTGGAAATATAATACTTCATTTCATTCAAATGTGCCACTTTTCCATACAGGTTTATCAAATCTTCTCAAACTCTTGTACAAGATGTCAGCTCTTTTACATAGGTAAATTGCATAAATATATACATTTTCTGTGTATGATGTGATTCTATTACCAAGCAGAGAAACTTTTCAGACAAAAATTTATGATTACACAGTTCCAATATCAGTCAAGATAAGTTAAATACCTGTAAAATGTCTTTTTTAATGTTTTACCTTAAACAGCTGTAATTGGTTTCAGATTTTTGTGAAATCATATACAGTACATGTATTTTCACCAGGGCTCAAGTTTTTGTTGTTTTCAAAAATTCACAACTTCACTGACATCTGATTTCCTGGATAAACACAGTACTATTTAGGTACTCCTACTGATTTTAACAATTGGTGGACAAGAATACCCACAAAATCAACCAATAATATCCCATAGAAGTTTACTATTTTACAGTATTTATAGTCAATTTAAATAAAAAAAAACCCATAAATATCAAAGTACTTCTGTACATGAGAATTTAAACG